TGTAGAGGCAAAATTCAGGCCATCACTCTTTCCATCCTTTTTATGCTTTTGCTAAAAACTAGACATTTAACTGATTTTTTTTTTTGCTGTACAGAAGCTTTGTAATTTGATGTAGTCTCATTTGTTTATTTTTCCTTTTTTATTGTTGTTCAATTACAGTCATTCCCATTTCCCCCCATTACTCTCCCCTACCCTACCCACTCTTATCTCCCACATTCAATTGCCCCCCTCTATTGTCTTTGTCCATGGGTCTTCATACATATTTCTTGATGACCCTTCCCTTCTTTGCCCTGTTATCCTTCTTCCCCTTCCCCCCTGGTTACTGCCAGTTTGTTTTTTATTGCCATGCCTAGTTCTATTTTGCTTGCTTGTTTCTTATGTTGTTTAGGTTTCATTGATAGGTGAGATCATATGGTTTTTGTCTTTCATTGCCTGTCTTATTTCAGTTAGCATAAAGCTCTCCAGTTCCATCCATGCTGTCATGAAGGGTAGGAATGCCTTCTTTCTTTCTGCTGTGTAGTATTCCATTGTGTAAATCTACCACACTTTTTAGATCCTCTCATTTACTGATGCACATTTTACTGTTTACACTATTACAGATATCCTCATTTCTCCACCCCCCACCCCCCCCTTGCTCACCTCCACCCATCTCTCAGCCCCTTCCCTCTGGCCATCACCACACTGTTATCTGCGACTATAGGTTAGGCACATATGTTCTTTGGTTTATCCCTTCACCTTCTTTCATCCAGTTCCCCCTCCCATCTCCCCACTGACCATTGTTAGTCTGCCCTATTCATCCATGCCACTGTTTCTCTCCCTTTCTCAATTTCCTTCTCTCTGTAATAAAAAAATTTAAAATTAAAAATTTTGCATCTGTATTTATCAGAAATATTGGTTTGTAGTTTTCTGTATTTTATTGTTGTTCAATTACAGTTGTCCCCATAGCCCCCCCATTACTCTCCACTGCTCTACCCATGTCCATCTCCCACATTCAATCCTCCCCTCCCCATTGTCTTTGTCCATGAACACTTTATACTTGTTCTTTGATGAATTTTACCTTTCTTTGACCTGTTACACCCCTCTTTCCTTCCCTCTGGTTACTGTCAGTTTGTTCTTTATTTCCATGACTCTGGTTATATTTTGCTTGCTTATTTTGTTTTGTTGATTAGATTTCACTTATAGGTGAGATTATATGGTATTTTTCTTTTACACCCAGTTTATCTTACTTAGCATAATGCTCTCCAGTTCCATCCATGCTGTCACAAAAGGTAGGATTTCCTTTTGTCTTTCTGCTGTGCACTATTCCACTGTGTAAATGCCTCATAGTTTTTTGATCCACTCATTTACTTATGGGCACTTAAGTTGTTTCCAGCACTTGGCTATTGTAAATTGTGCTACTGTGAACATTGAGGTGCATAGGTTCTTTTGAATTGGTGTTCAGGGTCCTTAGAGTATAGTCCCAGCAGTGGGATTGCTGGGTCAAAAAGCAGTTCCATTTTAGTTTTTTTTTTTAAAGGAAATTCCATACTGTTTTCCACAGTGGCTGCACCAGTCTGCATTCCTACCAATAATGTACTAGGGTTTGCTTTTCTCCACAACCTCACCAGCACTTGTTTGTTGATTTGGTTATGATGGCCATTCTGACTGGTACGAAGTGGTATCTCATTGTAGTTTTAATTGCATCTCTCTGATGGCTAGTGATGTTGAACATCCTTTCATATGTCTCTGGGCCTCTCTATGTCTTTCTTGGAGAAGTGTCTGTTCATATCATTTGCTCATTTTTTCATTGGGTTGTGTTTCTAGAGTGGAGTCATGTGAGTTTTTCATAGATTTTTGAGATCAAGTCTTTGTCCAAAGGTATCATTTGCAAATATGTTTTCTCATACAGTTGGTTCCATTTTGCTGATGTTTCCTTGAGCTGTGCTGAAGCTTTTAATTTGATGAAGTCCCATTTGTTCATTCTTTCTTTTATGTCCCTTGCTCTAGGGACACATCAGTGAAAATACTGTCATGTGGAACATCTGAGATTTTCCTGCCTATGTTCTCTTCTAGGACTTTTCCTTTATTTCCCTTGCCCTAGGATAAATATTTGCAAAAATATTTCTGTATGGGATATCAGAAATTTTACTGCCTATGTTTCCCGCTAGGACTTTTATGGTATCATGATTTATATTTAAGCCTTTACACATTTTGAGTTTATTCTGGTGTATGGTTTAAGTTGGTGGTCTAATTTCATTTTTTTTGCATATAACAGTCCAGTTTTCCCAATATCATTTATTGAAGAGACTATTTTTCATCTATCGTATGACCAAAGAAAAAGAAAACTGTACATTTAGGATAGTGTAATAGTTCTGGTATGTTTCTTTCCTTCCCTAACTTTTTTAAATCACTTTTCTTTTCTCTTAATTGTTGCTGCTCATTTGTTTAATGACAGATATGAACTAAGTCATGAAAGGCAAGGACCTACATCCAAGATTGCTCTATCCAGCAAAGCTTTCCTTTAGAATGGAAGGGCAGATAAAGTGCTTCTCAGATAAGGTCAAGTTAAAGGAGTTCATCATCACCAAGCCCTTCTGTTATGAAATGTTAAAGGGACTTATCTAAGAAAAAGAAGATAAAAAACATCTATAGTAAAATGACAGAAAACTCACAATTATTAACAACTACACCTAAAACAAAAACAAACTAAGCAAACAACTAGAACAGGAACAGAACCACAGAAATGGAGATCACATGGAGGGTTAGCAACAGGGGAGTGGGAGGAGGAGAGAGGGGAAAAAGATACAGAGAATAAGTAGCATAGATGGTAGGTAGAAAATAGAGATGGGGAGGGTAAGTATAGTATGGGAAATGTAGAAGCTAAAGAACTTATTTCACATGGAAATGAACTAAAGGGGGGAATGTGGGTGGGAGAGGATGTGCAGGGTGGAGGGGAGTGAAGGAGGAAAATGGGACAACTGTAATAGCATAATCAATAAAATATATTAAAAATAATTCTGTAGGTTTTATATTGTCCACAGTGTGCAACCACTTAATTCTCTGATGGACTTTAAAAATTCTTGTTTTTTTTTATTGTTGTTCAAGTACAGTTGTCTCAATTTTCACCCCACCACACCCCCTTGCAACCTACCCATTTCTGCCTCCCACCCTCAAACCTACACACTTTGGCTTTGTCAATATGTCCTTCATACAATATGGAATTTCCTCAGAAAACCAAAAATGGAACTTCCTTTTGACTTAGGGATGAAAAGACAGTTGAGAATGACTCCTGGGATTGTACCCTAAGAATCCTGAAACACCAATTCAAAAGAACCTATGAACCCCAATGTCCATAATAGCGCAATTTACAATAGCCAAGTGCTGGAAGCAACCTAAGTGCCTATCAGTAGATGAGTGGATAAAAAAAACAGTACATTTACACAATGGAATACTACACAGCAGGAAAACATCTTGTTTTTAATTTTAAGTTAGTGCTAGGGTTCAGTTCTGGGTAAGTATAAGTTAATAATCAGCTAAAAGATTTTTTGGATGCCTAGAACCAGTAAATCTTCTACCCACTACCAAAGGTATTTACATATAGAGGCACACCTTACAATTTCAGGCAGTACCCAAGTCAGTCTCAAATTTTTCTTCTTGTTTATATAGGCCTCAAAGTCAACTAGAGATGAGTGACTAGAGCCTCCTCTTTTCCTAGGTCATTTGTGGCCATTCACACTATCATCCTGAGCTTCTAGATCTCCAGGAATGCCAGCCAGAATGTTTCAAAGTTCACTATTGTTATTTAGGTCTGCAGGTATTTCTTTAAACTTATTTTTTGGCCAGGCTCTTGTTTGGCCCAACTGAAATCACAGGTTTAGCCAACTGTGGTGATGTTACCAGCAGATTACCATTACCAGCAGATTACCAGCAGAGTGTTTTAGTAATGCCCTGGGGATGGAGCTTTTCCCAAAAAGCTGATCCTTGACTCAAACCCAATACCAAATATGCCCTGGGATGAAGTTTTTCAGGGTGCTGCTATTTCAGTGAAGGTATTGACAGTGCTCTGGGGATGAGCTTTTGACAGAACTCTAAAAAGATCAGTCCTTTCCATTAAGTAAGTGGCTGCTCATTTTTCATGGCTACCATACCTCTGATCTGGGGAGGGGGAGTAATAGAAATAGTTAAATTAAAATGCCACAGGCATTATTATTTTTATAGAGGTTCAGTAGTTTTTTTAATGGATAATTTTTAGTTTTCTTTTGTGTTTTTGTTAATTTTAGTTTTCTAATTGATATTTAAAATGGTTTTCTAAGTATTTTTTGTTGCTTTTGTTGGAAAATGTGTTCATTTCACCATGCCAAAAATTCAAATTCTCCATCCACTAGGTTTGGGGAAATTTGTTATACTGCAATAAATAGCAAATAAGCTACACAAAAGGAATGTTTTTAGTATAAAAAAAGATAATGCAGAGAAAGTGTTCAATATGTTTTTTACTAAAATAAATATTGAAAAAATTAAATACATTATTTATGCTACCTTCAAAAATTTAGTTTGAGAGGTCAATTTATTAACTTTTCAGCCACTTGTTTTTAGGATGGCCAATATACTAAATTAAAAAACAACTCCCCCCTTCTTGGAACCAACATTTTGAGAGATTAGAGGAACATGTTTGTATTATTTTTTTAAAAGATTTTATTTATTTATTTTCAGAGAGAGGGGAAGGGAAGGAGAAAGAGAGGGAGAAAAACATCAGTGTGTGGTTGCCTCTCACATTACCCTCACTGGAGACCTGTTCTGCAACCCAGCATGTGCCCTGACTGGGAATCACACTGGCGACTCTTCAGTTCACAGGCCCACGCTCAATCCACTGAGCCACACCAGCCAGGGAAACATTTGTATTCTTGTTACAAGAAAAATTCTATGCTAAATTTCACACCACAGCATTTTGGCTCCTTTACCCATCCTCTGAAAGTTGATACAATTAGCTGAAAGACCATCTATAGCCAAAAACCCTCCATTAATTATTCACATTTGTGGTCAGTTATCTTGAAGTATACATTTTTTGTCTTTGATTTGGCTTCCTCTAAGATACTGGTAACTAGTAGGAAAAGAAAAAAATGGGTAGCTAATTAACACAGTTAAATCCCCTCTTTGCAAGCCATACAAACAAGTACTTTATGGCAGCAATCTCTTTATTTCCTATGGGTCTTACCTTGCACTTCATGAAGTTCTTGATTTTTAGGTTGTAGAAGAATCTTCAGGTTCCTTATGAGATTCATAGCCAAATCAGATTTCCCTGAAACTGAGTAAGGCACAATTGTTTGACCATACTGACTCAAATCCATTTCTCTGATGCGCTCTTCAGAATATAAATTTTGAGCTGTTAAGAGGTATGTAGTGACAAACAAAATTATTGATATCTGTAGCAACACCAATTTCCAATTGCGCCAACTGAATAGTGCTCTCTTTATAAACATGGAATGAAATTGCTGGCAGAAAAGTGGGAACTAGAAAGAGAAGAGAAACATAGCAGTGCAATTGTTGGTAACTCAAGTAGGATATTCATATGGAAATCCATTAATATAAATGCTTCAATTTTTTCAGCAGAAGATATATACATATTATACAAATATATTTTTGAATAAGACCCAAGAAAATAACAAGATGGTATGAAAGTTTTATTTGTTTCAGATATTAAGCAAAGAATTAGAATCTGGTTTATGACCTAACTGTATGGAACATCTTATCATGATTTTATATACTAATATACTTGTAGTACTTCTGAATAGAAAAACAAAATTATATTTATTTTTTACCTAACATTAAACCATAATCTTTTTATTTCTCCATTTTAAGAGGATATATACCCCATAAAACTTATTCTTTGCTCAGTTTTAATACACAAACTATTATTCATAGTGAAAAAAACACCCCTGATCTGATCACCCAGTATCACCTGATCACAAATGTTATAACTCTTGGGTCTTGTGTTATAACTCTTGGGTCTTGGGTCTTGTGTTTCCCTTTGTGAACAAAGGGAAAATCTATGAGAAAATGAATAAATTTTCAAAGTGATTCTGAAGAATAACAATGGTGAGAGTAGGAGTTGCTCTTTATCTAGAACACATTTCTCCTGCATCAAGAAATTATATCTACCTGGGTTTTCTACAGATAAGCTCCAAACATCTTTTAAGTTCAAATATTAAACAAAGTATACATTTGATACCAAAGAGAAACATATAGTTTAATTTTTAGTAAATATGCCTACCCCAGTATTAAATTTAATGGTAGCAATTTCATTCAGTCTTGAAAAAATTGGTGTGTTATAGTTTCCAGGTGTAATAATATTCTTCTTCATGTCTTGTCTTATTTTTTGGCCCTTCATTGAAGGGGACTGGATAGGAAGAATATCCATTCGGGGATTTGTCAGCTTATTGACCCTACATACAAACAGGTACACAAAAAGCACAAAACATTTCATTTTGACTATAGTCTCATTCTATTTTATTTGGGTAAGGTCAAACAAGGTTCCAAATTTGGATGACCCTTTGATCTTTCTCCCCATTGTTAGTTGTATTGTTTTCAGGCAGCATAACAACAGTGTTATTGGTTCCCAATTAACCAGTCAGAGGACTAATAGCAATTCTTGGCAAAGTTTCAACAGTTCTGGGGAACTGTTTTATTATGAGAAAAAATATGTCATATATTCTTTGTTCCACTAAGCTCTTGCATTAAATTAAAGGACTTATGTTTAATCAAAGATAATAACTCCACCCTGGCTGGTGTGGCTCAAGTGGATTTAGTGCTAGCCTGTGAACCAAGGGGATGCTGGTTTGATTTCCAGTTAGGGCACATGCTTGGGCTGTGTGCCAGGTCCCCATTAAGGGGAGAGTGAGAGGTAACCACACATTGTTGTTTCTCTCCCTCTCATTCTCCTTCCCTTCCTCTCTCACTAAAAATAAATAAATAAAATCTTAAAAATAAGATAATAGCTCATTTGAGGGTTAAAATGTTCTTTGAGAAAAATGGGGACATTGGCTAGTAGTTTTCTTTTTTAAGTCCTTACTACTGCCTATGTCTGACATTGCATCTTTTTGTATGCATACTTGAGAAAAATATACAGATATACAATGAATAATCTGAAGAGAAAAATGCTAAGTATTAATAGAATAACAGGAAAATATATCACAGTGTGCTGAGAGACAGGAAAGATTAATTATACTAAAGTGGTAAACACTTGACAGAAAATACAAGATTTAAAAGGTATATTTTTTCTAAGCCCAAGAACTATAAAAATCATCTCAGTTCCCTCTAGGGTAAATGGAGTCAGTCTGGCTGTCATACCCAGATGTCTGAGGAACTAAGATAAGCTGTGTCCTCATAGCCTTGAGATGGGTCCAATAAGCGGTTCCCATACCCTTGACTAGGTTCATATGCACAGAATCTTGCTGTATTATACAACATTTTGGCTCCCTGCCAGCTTTGTGTGCCTTTAGTATATAAGGGAGTTGGAACTCCCTGTTGTGCACCACACAGCAACACAGCAACACGTGGCTGGTGGCATGCATGGATCACCCACCCTTGAATAAAGGCATGTCAGACCTTCTGACAGCTCTGTGACTGGAGTGAACCTGTCTGGCCTTGAAAAGCTGCAACACAATTGTCATAGTCAGCAGGATTTGTGGCAGAATGGTACGGTGCTGGCACCCCCAGAGGTCACTGGTATGTAGCCTTTGGTGACCAGGCTCCTGGCATCTTAGCCTCCCACCCCAGGATTGACCTGATGCCAGTGGTGTACCTGACATGATAGAGAAGGCCCTGCAGATGGTAGAGAAGACCCTGGAAAAGCCAAGTACCCTCACAGCCATGGGGGCCATGGGCTGGGTGTTTCTTTCAGTTTTGTGAACTGAGACAGAGACTGTGCTTCACAATGCAGAGAAGGTACATGAACTCTGAGGCAGAGAGGAAGCTTTGGAAGCAAGGATTGGTGCCCTAGAGGAAGATCTCTGAGTGTCAGAGCAGCAGTGATCCCCATCCCCAGCTGCACTGAACGATCTGGAAGAAGAAAAGGGGAATTGTTGCTTCTATACACCCTTCCCCTCTCATGCCCTGCACAGACTTAGAATAAAGTTTCAGACAGGAACTGGGCCAGAGAACTGTGGCCTGGGCTGGGTGCTTTGATGGTGGTGGCACAGCACCTGGATCTGGCAAGGGCCTGGGCCTGCTGTGCCCTTGGCACACTGCTGCTGCTAGCCAGGATATTTATTGGACTTATAGCCAAGATGGAGGCATAGGTAGATATACTTTGCCTCCACACACAAGCAAAAGAAGGACAAATATAAATTTAAAAACAAAAAATAAGTAGAACTGCTAGAGAACTGAACTGTATGGAAGTCCAACAACCAAGGAGTTAAAGAAAAAACATTAATTCAGACTGGTAGGTGGGGTGGAGATGGGCAGCCAGGGCAGAGAGGATGTGCAGCAAGGTGGCAGCTGGTGGACTAGGCAGTTCCACATGTGTGCAGAAAAACTGGGAGGAACAACTGGGGACAGGCCACACAACCCAGGGCTCCAGTATGAGAAAAGAAAGACTCAAAACCTCTGGCAGTAAAAACCTGTGGGGTTTGTGATGGTGGGAGAATCTCCTAGTCTCACAGCAGATTTTGTTGAAGAGACCCACAGGGTCCTAGAATGTACACAACCAGACCCTCCTCTGAATCAGCATCAGAAGGTCCCAATTTGAGAGAGGAAGATGGTGTCAGGGTAGGAGGGAGCAGATTCTACTCCCCTCATCCCACAGGAGAAAATCCTAGCCCATCTATGGAGTAAAAAAGCAAACAACTAACAATACCTCAACATATGAAAATAAGGGACAAAAATTGTAGCAGAACAGAAAAACCAGACAGTAAGGAGAGTACTTCAGGACAATAAGGTCTCAGGGACCAGCACAGGATTCAGGGGGGCTGCAGCCCCAGGCTCTGTGCCAGCTGCCAGGTTTGCCATAGAGTCCTTGGGAGAGAGCTGGGGCAACTGCTCCCTCCCTGGCCAAACAAGGTCAGAATGGCAGGAGGTGAAACCTGGTTGCTAGTGAACACACAGGGGATGTGAGCACACTTGGAGTCTGTGGACACCAGCAGAGTTGAGAGTTGTGTGATGGGCCCTGACCCCCATAGTCACTGGTCTGGCTAGAGAATTGGGCTGTGGGAGAGGCCAGGCCATTATATGGAGCGGCAGGCTTGAGTAGGAGGAATTTCTCAAAAAGAAAAAGTGAAAAGACAGACACTGTTTGGGGAATTCTCTTACAGCAATCGCTTGGGCCTCCCTGCTACCCAGCCGGGCAGCGATCCCGAGGTTGCACTGAAGGTTGTGCTTGAGCAGAAGACCCTGTGCACCCCCATAGCACTGGGAAGGGTGAGGCAGCCAGGCTGAGTGTGCGTGTGTGTGCCCCTGGACTCCACCCCACAGCAGTAACACTGGGGAAAGGCCTGGTTTCCACACCCAAGGCACAGGGGAGAGATGCCAGGATAGCTTCACGGACAGTGTGTGTGGCTGACTGACTGCTGATTGGGAAGAAAGGAAAGCCATACCAATTGCCCGTCAGCCTGCTGCAGCCAGCTAGACCAGAAAAAACAGTTTGGACACTTTGAAACCAAGAGGCTTTTAAATTTTATTCTATTTTTATTATTTTTAAAATAATTTTTAATTTTTGAATTATTATTTTTTCTCTTTAAATTCCTTTTCCCTCTTCTTTTTAAAATATATTTTATTAATTATGCTATTACAGTTGTCCCATTTTCCCCCTTCACTCCCCTCCACCGTGCCCACCCCTCCCACCCACATTCCCCCCCTTTAGTTCATGTTCATGTGTCATAAGTTCTTTAGCTTCTACATTTCCCACACTATTCCTGCCCTCCCCCTATTTTCTACCTATTGTCCATGCTACTTATTCTCTATATCTTTTCCCTCTCTCTCCTTCTCCCATTTCCCTGTTGCTAACCCTCCATGTGATCTCCATTTCTGTGGTTCTGCTCCTGTTCTATTTGTTTGCTTAGTTTGCTTTTGTTTTAGGTATGGTTGTTACTAACTGTGAGTTTGATGTCTTTTTTTTACTATTCATATTTTTTATCTTCTTTTTCTTAGATATGTCCCTTTAACATTTCATAAGGGCTTCGTGATGATGAACTCCTTTAACTTGACCTTATCTGAGAAGCACTTTATCTGCCCTTCCATTCTAAATGAAAGCTTTGCTGGATAGAGCAATCTTGGATGTAGGTCCTTGCTTTTCATGACTTGGAATACTTCTTTCCAGCCCCTTCTTGCCTGTAAGGTCTCTTTTGAGAAATCAGCTGACATTCTGATGGGAACTCCTTTGTAGGTAACTGTCCCCTTATCTCTTGCCGCTTCTAGAATTCTCTCCTTCATTTTTATCTTGGGTAATGTAATTATGATGTGCCTTGGTGTGTTCCTCCTTGGGTCCAACCTCTTTGGGACTCTCTGAGCTTCCTGGACTTCCTGGAAGTCTATTTTCCTTGCCAGATTGGGGAAGTTGTTTCTTATTATTTGTTCAAATAAGTTTTCCACTTGTTGTTTTTCCTCTTCCCCTTCTGGTACCCCTATAATTCAGATGTTGGAATGTTTAAAGATGTCCTGGAGGTCCTAAGCCTATCCTCAGTTTCTTGACTTCTTGTTTCTTCATTCTTTTCTGTTTAGTTGTTCCTTTCCTCCTTCTGGTCCCTTCCATTGATTTGAAACCCAGTTTTCTTTCCATCACTATTGGTTCCCTGTGCATTTTCCTTCATTTCTCTTATTGTAGTCTGCATTTGTTAACCTAATTTATGACCAAAGTCAACCAATTCTGTGAGCATAGTGATCACCAGTTCTTTGAACTGTGCATCTGATAGGTTGGCTATTTCTTGGTTGCTTAAAAAAAAAACTGGCTCTGGGGCTTTGAACTCTGTTTGAGCCATCTTTTTTATTTTATTTTAGTTTTTCCTTTGGTCTGGTCTTGCCTGTTATGTATGAGGAGCGGAGCCTTAGGTGTTCACCAGGGAAGGGCACCTCAGTTGCTGGGTTGTGACTGTATGTGGGGGCAGGGTCCAGGAGGGAACAATAGCACCCTCTCTACTCTCTCTAGGACTTCAGTCCCCTTTGCCGCTTCCTACAAGCAAATTGGGCCCTTCTGGTGCTGGCTCCCGGGCGGGTGGGTTTGTGTACTTTCTCTGACCCTGTGGGACTCCCTAAGGAGCTCTCCTGTGAGGCTGAGAGAATCTCCTGACCTCAATTCCCACAGGTGTTTTCAGTTGGTGCCTTTAGGCTTTGTTTCACGGTGCTGGGTCCCTGGGTTATGCTGTCTGCATCACTACCCATTTTCACTTAGTTTGTCTGTGCCCAAATGTGTGGCTGCAGACAGCCAGCTGCCTTGTGCGCCTCACTGGGTCTG